ACATGACAAGAACTAGGACAAAGAATAAAAATATATGTTTCACACACAGTACAATCGCAGTTTCATCACATTTTAAATTACAGGGCATTGTCAAAATATTCTTGTAGGTCATAATAGGCTTTATCACTTAATAGTTTTGTACATTTCTTTCTAAATATGATGAAAGGAGTGTCTTTGATTTCATTGGGAACTTTATTGTATATCCTGATTCCATTAGTTGAACCAAACATGTTTTTGGAATTGGTAGATTCAGTTCATTTGACCGCCTTGGGTGGTATGTGGCTGTAGCTGTAGATTCATAGTTCTCCCTATTTTTATGTATAATTGACACGGTTTCCAATATAAATATTGAAATAACCGTAAGGAGTCTATGTTCTCGAAAAAGGGGTTTACATGAATCCCGCCATTTCGCTTTACATAAGTACCTGATGGCCCTTTTTTGCAAGACAAAACCGACTGCATAAGTTGTTTACTGCAAACACCCCAAAAGGGTATACCATACCTTAGATGAGAGTCTATTGAGGCATAATACACTACTTTCGCTGCAGCAAACCCCAGTTCCTTTGAGATGTTTCTCAGTGCGAAACATCCTGATGCCAATTTTTTGTTGATGTGTGCAATATGCTGAGAGAATTTTAAATTTTCATCTAAATAAATTCCCAAAAATTTCAAAGTGCAGTTATTTGTTATTCTGTTATTGTCTGGGGGGATATCAGGTATATTACACTTGAATGCTAATATATTTGTTTTGCTAGTATTCAATGATAGAAGATTCGAGTCGAACCAATTCTTCACTTTGGCAAATTTTGTTATGCAATCTGTTTTTGTCCTTGTCATGCCACACTAATGTGGAGTCATCAACAAATAAGGTAAAGCTTCCTGTAATCGATATGTTGGTCAAATCATTAATGTATAACAGAAACAGTATAGGACCTAACACAGAGCCTTGAGGTACTCCACAATTTATCTCTCCCACGTCCGAATTAGATGAAGTTCTTACAAATTGTTTTCTGTCAGAAAGGTATGGACTCTTCCAAATATGACTGTTGTCTCTAAAACCACATCTTATGAGTTTCCGAAGCAATATGCTGTGATTGACAATTGACACAGTCAGAAGGTTTGGATAAGTCACAAAGCACTGCTGCAGTGGCTTCCCCGCTGTCGATTTCGTTATAATAAAATAAAACAAAGAATCATAACTTTACTAGAACGACACGTTTAGTTGCTGCGCGTGAAGGAAATTGCCTACCCTACAATTGAATTTTACTCAAGAGGAAGATCAGTTTGATCTTCCTCTTGAAGATGATCACTTGGTGATCGAAACACGTGTCGAGGTGTTAAAATAACGGTTTGGTGTTGGGATAAAAACTCCAGAACTATTCATTACTGCACCAAAGGTTCCAAACAGTGCATTACAAGTACCCTACAATGGGGAATGTTTCTCAATTTGGGTTATTACAGCAAATGCAAGTTTGAACAAAATAAAGTTGAGTTTAATTCATGAGTTGTTCAAATTCACTTCGAAAAGTATTCAAATTGGTGTTTCAATTGTTGGGTTTTGATTTTTAAAGGGATTTGTTTCTAATTCACATATTGGCAACATCGCCTATATCACGTTGAAATAATTTATACATACCTAGATAAAAAGGAAAATTATCTTTATGAATCAACAGTTGAGGCAAAATATAAATTATAGTTCAATACCACCTCCACAAGCCACATAAACAACAGTTGTTTTGTTATTTATTTATATAGAGGAAAATAGCTTATGTGCACAAAATGTCATATGTCACAGAATGTCTCGGAACTTGGAACATAAGTAAACAGAACAGCACGCCTCTGAAATATGTCATCTTTGTTTGTCTCATACAGGTAACAGATTCATTGTCCTTTATTAGCTATAACCGATGTTGCCAAATGGTGAAATAGAAACGAATCCATTTAAATGTTGAATGCGTTGTTTTAGAGCTCTTTTATGAAAACTACTTGATTTTCGTCAGGAGGAACATTGCCCATTCTAAAACTTCACAGTAGACTGAAGCTGTTAAGACCTTTTTACGACTTCAGTATTCATTACGAAAACAGTTTGCTGTACTGAAAACTATGGGCTCGAGCACTCCCAATTCTTTCATCAACAGCAATAAAATAGATTATGAAACAATGCCAACAAAACAAACAAATTATAATTAAGATAATGCTAGATAAACAGAAATCACTGAAATATGATTCACCAGGATTGTGACATCCTTTTGTCTCATCACTATTCTCGAGATAAGTACAGAATGAGTTCATAAATATCATATCAACTAGATGCTTACATAGGAGTTATTTATAAATGAATATGAAGGTGTTTTGTTGTTGTGAATTTCAAAGTTCGTTGCTATAAACATTTCATAATTTAAATAGGCTGCCTCTTTAAAAAATAAGGTGAATTTAATTTTTCACGAAAAATATTCGTCGATTCATCAATTTCTATTTTGTCCCCTTGAAAGTAACCCCCTCAGATATGAAACACTTGTGCCACCGTTTTGTCCATTCCTCGAAGCAGTTCCGATATGCACTTGGGAATAGAATAAAGTCGCAGGGGGGCAAATGTGGTGAAATAGGTGGCTGAGGCATGATTACGGTGTTGTTTTTGGTCAGAAGAACTATAATAGGGGAGCCCAAGCGGGGATTTCGGGATTTACTAAAGCGCGGCAGATTAATATACAGGGGATACCTTGTACCAGGTTAAGTACCTCCACCAAATATAAGCCTCATATATAAGAGATAAAGGGGATCAGAGTAGTAAAAAAAAAATTGATCATCAGAAACTCTCGAACGCGTCAGATTAAGGTAGGGCGAGTTAATTACCTGCTAAAAAGTGTATATTCCAGTAATCTGACAATTTGAGAGTGACGTAAAGAAAGGGAAGGGCCGCAAAGTTGTAAAAAAATAACGGCATTTCGACATTCTCAAGAGTAGCTAATTTTTTTTTATTATGAAGGAAATAATTCAAGGTCGATGAAAAGGTATATATTATATAACATTTTTTTCTTTTTATCATCTAAGCTTTGCAACCTAATATGTCTCAGTGACGCTCGAGTAAATCCCCATTTTGCATCGTGGGCTTCTCTGCTATACGAACAAGCTATGACAAGCATAACTCGTACGATCATATGACAAAAACTCCCGATGCATTACGCCACAGTAATGGAAGAAAACAGTGGTCAAAACATTGGCATGTTCGTGGTAGTGTTGTCCACAGCCAAAAATTCGAAATTTGAATTGTTTTGTAATTTTTATATTGAAGTCCGATTTTTAATTAATGGTTCCGAATATGAAGCTATAGAAATGATAAAATAGTCGAAATCATGAAATAAAAGTATTCCCTTTCCAAAGTCATTGAACTTTTATAAAGCTGGTTATAGTATTGCAGGGGAGAAGTTGAAACGTTATGATGGATGACAAGATGGACTTTCAGTATGAACACATATCTATCAAAGCAATGTTAGGGTTTCACCAACATTTTTTCTATTAAAATACTATACTCTGCATTGGTAAGATCAGTGATAGAGAATTGCACTTATATTTGGTCTCAAATTTACTTCAACCACAGTTATAATATTGAGAAAGTTCAGAATAAATTTCTTAGATATGTTGCCTACAAAATGAACATGCTAGCTAATAGAAGTCATTCGTTCTTTGAAATTCGCTCTACTATTGGATTGCTCAAACTCAGTACAAGACGGGCACATAATTGTTGAACAATGAAATTAACTGCCCAACTCTTCTCTGTCAAGTTAATCTGCATGTGCCCCCGAGAAGGACACGTAATAACCAAACTTTCAGTCTCGACTTTCATAGGTGTAATTATGGAAAACATTCTCTTTTGTCCAGAATGGGGAATGTTCCTCCTGACGAAAATCAAGTAGTTTTCATAAAAGAGCTCTAAAACAACGCATTTTAAACTCCTCATTTGAACCTTTTTCTTTAAAAAATTATTTAAATACTTAAAAAAGAGGAATGAAATAATGCATTCAACATTTAAAGGGATTCGTTTCTATTTCACCATTTGGCAACATCGTATGAATATTAGGTTTTTCATTCTTTTTCGTACATTATAAAGAATTAATAATTTTCGTAACTTCTTATTTAGAACCATTAGGTAATTGAAAATAAGACTTGAATATGAAATTCCAATTTTGCGTTGAAATTCGATTACTAACCAGCTTTTTCAAATGACCTATTTTGGTATTATCAACGCGAAGCAAAATATCGAGAATTTGAATTTTTCGCAGGAACGCAGTAGGCTGGTTTCAAAGCTATCACTCGGGCTAAGTATTGCGAAAAGTGCGGCCCATGGATTTAGGGTCGCGTCGATAAAGTAGGTACTTATATATAAACTACTGAAAGTAATTACTTATCTGAACGTCGGTGGGGAATCCCCGTCGAGAACGGAACGAAAAGGGTTTGCCAGTTCAGAAATGTATATCGCAAAAAAAATCGGAAGAATTTTTTTGTACTTATCCTCAAGCCAAAAATCATTACATATCGAAAGAGTTTGTCCCTTTTTCCTAATTTACGACACAGTATTAAGAAAATTTTGAGATAAGATAGCGCTCTGTTGGTCCGTTTAATGATTTACAGCCGCTAAACGTAGAATTTTTCAAAAGAAAAACCTTGAAAATTACTTTTTTGTTCGGCTGTTGCGCGTGATGATTTTTAAGAGATTTTTCTCTCACTTTTGACCCCCCCCCAAGCCCCTCCCCTCCCATAGATCGACTAAAGCGTTCCGCACACACATTGTGGATTGTGATGTTACGCGGTTACTCCAGATCAGAATAACACCAATATCGCTTCATAGTCTACCCTTTAAAAACTCACTCTGTACAACTATAACAGTTGAGATATTTAACGAACCAAAAGAAAAAAGTTTTTTTTTTCACAAAGTAAGATAAGCCATTTTTCGAACCTTTTTTATAAATTGCGTTTAATTTGCCTACTTTGAAAACATTGCTATCTGAAATATATTTCGATCAGTCTTTCCATAGATTTATTTCCTTAATAACGAACTGACGAATCAAGAAAAGTTAACAGCCTTTTTCCGTCATGATTCTGAATAATTCGACAGAAATGGCTGAAGGCGACATGGCGAGTGATGGAAGTTCTTTTAATTATTTTTCATTCGAGGATCGTGAAATGAGTATGAAACAAGGATTTGTGAATTTTGGCTATCTTAGAAATTCAACTCGCTCGGTGAAATATATATACGATGGGCTCGATTTCCCGAATAACATGAAAGGATTTATGTATCGACAAGGACAGGTACCATATATTTTATGAGAAATTTATAACCCATATTTTCTGTTCTGTGACTATTTGGCATTTTTCTGTATCAGAAACTCTGAATTGATGCGTTGTGTTTCAACTTTAGGAATCCAAAATCATGTATATTGTAACTGTTTCGATTGTACGGTAGAAATAAACCAAAAAAACACTTAACTCGAAAATTTGGAATACGGTAAAAAGATAAGCGGATAGAGACAACAGCCTAATTGTATGACAAAAACGGCACCTTAGCAGATGATACGTCACAAGGTCAACTATTGACCACACATTTATATTAATAATAGCGATGCAAAAATATACAAAACCAATAATATAGGAGTAGGTACTATTTTTATCAAGGATATATTAGTTTTAACCGCATTTCTGATGTAACAACACCTAACCTATCATCTGAAGGCAACTGAAACATTTATTGCAAATTTAGTTATAGCAAACTTTTCAATGTAACCAAATCTAACGGATATTTTTGTAAAAAGTATTTTGTGGAACGATTATTGTTCAAAAAATACCTCTTTTAACATTCTAAGACGATTCATAATTTTGAGATTTACAACTCTGCAGTTTGTTATAGAGAATAAAAAACATTCCACTATGAAATTTATAGAATATAGAAATTTACATGTATAAAAAAAAACATTGCAAACAGTAGACTGTCCTGATTTTCAATTTTTTTTTCATTTGAAACAATTTTAAGATTTCTCAAGAAGTCATTTTGGAAAAACCGCTAATAATCTTAACCCTACTTTCCCATTTCTTCTCCCAAGATTAGATTTAACGACATAGTTGAAATAGTTGAATTCTGGCTCGGGCTATATTCAATATACGTTGTATTAAAATGTTTGGTTATCCAAAAGTTCATGCAGGAATTCGAAGAATAATTAATTTGAATGAGGTAGCTGTGTAAAGTCAATTACAATAACTACTCGTGTTGTAAACTTTAACAGCACCGTATTTTAACTGTTTTTAACTTTTTTATATTAGAAACTGTTCATTGCCCATCCTTATTCGAACACTCTATAGCAATTTTTGACACATATACAGTCGAGTTCATCTGTTTTTTGTTTCAGTATAACCTGAATAATAGTAGAGACAAAACAGTACAAGAAGCTGGCATCAAATGGACTCCTCTGGACCGTCTTTCGATTGTCGTAAACCAACTAAGGAACAATTCGCTGTTTGTCCAGGACTACAGTGAGGATGACTTGCTACTTGGTGCGTCCGCAAGCCCGACAGCCGGAGAAGGACCGAGTCACTCCTGTGATATTCCGCCAGTGGTCCTTGATGATTATGAAAACGGTCCCGCCACATCGCGCCCCTACTTGAAGCCCATAATTATTGAATCCACCAATTACGTCGGTCTCGTCAATCAAGCCATGACGTGTTATTTGAACAGCTTGCTACAGGCCCTGTACATGACACCGGAATTCAGAAACGCGCTGTATAATTGGGAATTCGACGGAGCCAACGAGTCGCGGTCAATACCTTACCAACTGCAGAAGCTGTTCTTGAACCTACAAACTTCTTCCAAACCTGCCATCGAAACAACCGATTTGACCACCAGTTTCGGATGGCAGAACAGCGATGCCTGGCACCAACACGACATACAGGAACTGTGCAGAGTGATGTTTGACGCGCTCGAGCAGAAATTCAAAGATACCAAACAAGCTAACCTCATCAATGATCTTTATGAAGGAAAGATGCTCGATTACGTCAAATGTTTGGAGTGCGGCACAGAAAAGTCTCGAGAGGACACGTTCCTCGATATACCGTTACCTGTGAGACCTTTCGGTAGTGCGGTAGCTTATAATAGCGTGGAGGAGGCCCTCAGAGCTTTTGTTCAACCGGAAACGCTAGACGGAAACAATCAGTATCACTGCGAGAAATGCAACAAGAAGTGTGACGCCCACAAAGGATTGAAGTTCACGAAATTCCCTTACTTGCTCACTCTTCATATGAAACGTTTCGATTTCGATTATAACACTATGCATCGGATAAAGCTCAATGACAAGTAAGTACTGGTTTTTGCGGTTATGTTCGATTGGTGGATGGTGATCAGTAACATTGAATCAGTTTTCATATCGAATTTTCACATAACTCGAATATTTGTTTTGTTGTTGAATAATTGTTGTCAGTTTTACTGAAGATCAAATTTGCAATTTTTTGGGAGAAATTAAATTGGAGAAAACGTACTTTATTGATGTTAGTGAATCTGAAACCAAGGGTAGTTCAACAACTGTTCATTATCAAGCTTCGAAGGATGAATAAACGCCCTAAACACCTGCACCAGAATCGGAAGGTGTTTTTGATCCATCTGTAAACCAACGACTGTCTGCTCTTGATATTTCCTTCTCCCAACCGAAGGTGGGGAAGATTCGTTTGTATTCGCATCTGTCAATTAGATACGAAGGTTTTCCTATCAAACTAGACTTTACTTACGTTTTCTATTTGGAGAACAGCAGATAAATCTATAATAAAACGCCTGAAAACCTTACAAAACAAAATAATAAGAAGCATTTATAAATTACCATATTTGGAACCAACATTGAACTTATATAAGCCAAACCTTTTATTGGACTTGAATTCACTCTATAAACTAAAAATTAGCTGCTTCATTCATTCTATGAAAAATAATACAAAGAAATCAAACCTAAATTTTATTCCGATTGGACATATTCACAGATATGCCACAAGACAAACCAAATTTTGGTCACAAATTAAGATAACAAAAAAATTTAGGAAAAAAATCGATATATCATGATGGAATCATTATACAGGGTGATTCAAAAGTACTTTGACAAACTTCAGGAGGTGATTCCTCACAATATTCTAATATGAATTGTCCAAATAAATAAATGTCCGGAAACGCTTCGTTTCCAAGATACAGGATGTTGAAGTTTTATTCTTATTTTCGTTTTTTTTGGATAGACTGTGTTAAGAAATTCCCTGGCTACAACGCTAAAATGGGCCGGAGCCCCATCATGCATAAACCACATGCGGATACGAATTTCTAATGGTACATTCTGAAGTAGTCCCGGCAATTCATTTTCTAAAAAGTGTCTGTAAGTTGCGGCATTCAGTTGGAGCGGAAGAAAGAAAGGACCTATCAAGTAATTAGCAATTATTGCCGCCCATACATTTACAGAAAATTGATACTGATAATGCCTTTCACTAACTGCGTGCGGATTTTCGAGAGCCCAAACATGGTTGTTTTGAAAGTTTGTGGTAGCATTTCGGGAGAAGTTTGCCTCGTCCGTGAAGAGTACATATCTTAAATATTGAGGATTTCCAGCCAATTTTCTCAAAAACCATTGACACATAGTAATGCGTTGGGGAAAGTCTCGTGGCTGAAGAGGTTGTACCCTTTGAATATGGTATGGATAAAACTGTTGATGGTGGATAATTCTCCAAACTGTGGACTGAGTAGAATTGACAGTTTCAGCAATTACTCTTCAGCTTGTTTCTGGATTTTCCTCGAGAGCGTTCAAAACTGCTTCTTCCAATTCTGGGGTTCGGACTGCTCGTGGTCTTCCAATAATATCAGCTGCCCTCTTAAAGCTACCTGTTTCTGCCAAACGACGGTGGAGACTAGCAAATGTTGGAGCTGAAGGCAGTACTCGATTAGGAAATCGCTCCTGGTAAATACGTCTTGCTTCGCGCGCATTGCCATCCGCAAGGCCATAAACGAAATGCATATCGGCTAAATGAGCATTATTGTTTAAATAATCCATTTTTTCAAAATAAGTGTTTTCTACTTCTACTTACGGAAACTTCAACAAAACGTCTAACTGTCACAAAATATGTAATTACCAAAACTACTCACAAACGTCAAATTTATTTCCAAAGCATTCTTGTGAAAAATGCAAACTATTTGTAATAACTTCAACAACTTCAAATTTATTTCCAAAGCATTCTTGTGAAAAATGCAAAATATTCGTAATAACTTCAACATGCATCGATCATCAAATAATTCACTTGAAGTATTCAAGTCCTAATATTTAGAAAACGGTTGCTTACATCGACTAGTAACAAGGGTAGCTTATTTACGTAGATATGATAGAGGAATCGATTTTTTTACTGAAAAATGTGCTAGAAGTACGCCCAAAAAAGTTATGAATCTTTAAAAATGAAGAAGATGTGTAGGTGGCGCCCCCTACGAGTAAGAGCAATAAGAACATCAGGTTCGAATTCGACACCTCAAAAACCTCCTATTACCAAGTTTCGTTTAATTAACAGATACAGATAAGTTAAGTTGAGTTGAGTATTTCAAAAGTTATTTGAAAAAAAACGATAATAAAAATAAAACTTCAACATCCTGTATCTTGGAAACGAAGCGTATATAATTCAATTCCAGAAAAAATAAAGAAGTATTATTCCATTACAAAATTCAAATATCAATTGAAAAAAAATCTAATAAGTAGAATTTCATAGTTTGCATTTTATTTCTATTACACGTTTTCAACATATATTTTCTGTAATCAATTTCATTATTCGACTGTATTTCATTGGTATTTTTTTTTCTAGATATAATATGTGTTCATTGTAAAGTATGTTATTTCTGTTATTTTATTATACTTTGTAGTTAGTTATAGTCCCTAATTATAAGCAATGAACCGAATTGAATTGACAAGATACCCTTGTTAACTTTTTATTCTTCTCTATTTTTGGAGAATTGTCTGTATATACCCTTGAATTTATTAAATATGTCACCGTGGAGCTTATTCTTAATATATTTGCAAAAAACTACCAAGAAAAGTTGATTTATAGCCAGGAAAATAGTACCGTTTATAATGTCAATGTTACTGAATCCAGAATTGCGAGTCTGATTTGATTCTTTGTTCTGAGTCATCACCCCATTTGACTGTATTGGCATATAATATCACCTTGAAACCTTTTAGGGTTGTGTTTCCTGAAAAACTAAACTTGAATTCCTTCATAACAGCAAACCGGTCAGAAAGTGAGCATATGGAAGAAAGAGAAAATATTGTTAAGTATGATGATTGCAGTACGACCGATTCGGGATCAGCGGACGATGAGAGTTGTCAGTTGACTGATGCGTCTTCTACTGTTAATGGACAGGATGATAATTGTGCAGATAGTGATGAAGGTAAAGGTTCTAAATGAGTCACTTTTGAAAACATATCTGAGGAAATTATTAGTTTATCAGCTTTTTCAAATGATAATAATAACAACAGCCTTTATTACTCAACAGTTGAAAATCATTCACAGGGTTAACTAAGTATGTTGAAAAAGTAATATAGGTCCTTATAATTACAAAGTTACAATTTGAGGAAATGAGTAACAAAATTATAAAAAAATAAAATAAAAACAAATTATACCAGCAAATTAAAAATTTTCCATGAAATACTGAGGTGCAGTGTCAACAATATATTCTAGGGAATCATAATTGATATCACACGAATTTGAAATTGAATTGAAATTATTGCAATGCTAAAAATGCTACAGATAGGTGACTTGAGGTACAAATTGGTTCTGGCCAGTCGGCTGTATAAAGTTTTTGTACTTCTAGTTCTAAAATGAGGCACACAGAAACTTATAAAGAGATAACACCTTCTTAGCATCCACATTGTTGAAAAATTTCAGTAATTTATACAGAAAAACTATCTTATTAGTCAATGGGCTATGCTTGAAGACTGGCAGTAAACAAATCTAAAGAAATGAACTTTAAACGTTCCAGCAAGTTTTCTGCGTAATTCAAGACTTTAAATACACAACTGGGTCTGTACCTCAAGCACCAAAAAGAGCAACAGTCATCCGTATCTACAAAGGAGATGCTCCCTCAGCTAGTAACAACTATAGACCTATATCCCTGCTATTAGTTATTTCAAAAATATTAGAAACGTGCATGAACAACAGACTTGTCACCTTCCTTAATCACACAAATTTCTGGTATCATGGTCAATATAGTTTTAGAAGAAATAGCACTACCCAAACTGCAACAACTGATTACAAACATGATAGATAAATTGGACAAAGGTTTGAATTGTGTGTTTCTATCCCTAGATTTAAGGAAGGCATTCGACACAGTGGATCATAGACTTCTGTTGGAAGTACTACAAATAGCCGGTGTGCATGGTATTCCTCTGATATGGTTCAGCGACTATCTGGTGGGACGTACTCAAAATGTGGTGCTTAATGATGCAGTTAGCCAAACAACTGATATAACTTGTGGAGTTCCTCAGGGGTCCATCCTGGGGCCATCACTTTTCTTGATTTACATAAACTAACTGTCATGTCTCGCCTTGAGCGGCCAACTTCAACTGTATGCAGATGAGACCGCAATTGTTTATTCTGGCACAGACAAACAACAAATAAAACATCAGATAGAGAAAGATCTCTCCCACATCGAAAAATGGTTAATTTATCACAAATTAACTCTTAATGCCAACAAGTCAAACTATATGATAATAACAAGGAGCAATCCATGGGATGATATGACAATTGAAATTGGAACAAGTCATCTGACCAGAACAACTTGTATCAAGTATCTTGGCCTTTATATTGATGACAAGCTGAAGTGGGACAAACATAAAAATAGCCCCTGCTACTGGTGTCTTGGGAAGAATCTCAAAATTCACCTCTATAAGCCAGAGAAAATCAATATATTACTCCCTTGTGCATAGCCCTATCACTACACCTTACATACATAGCACCCAACTGAATAGTATTCATTCAAACATTCACTTCACGTCGAATCTACAAGTCCATAACTACAGTACCTGAAATAGGCAACAATTACGAACAACTGCTGCAACACATCAAGTACGTAGCTTACTTAAGCTCAAAGCCTTAACCATGTACTATGTAGAATTTTGTACTCATATTTGTAGTTTACGCAATTTATGGAATAAAAAAAAAAAAATTGAATGTTATGGTAAAAGATTCATATGAAATACCTCTATCAGGATATATACAATAAGATTTGAGATAAATAAACTTTAAGAAACGACGTTGAATTTTTTCAATTAATGTATTATAGCAATTGTAGAATGGAGACCATAGAACAGAGCCATGTTCTAATTTTGACCTTACGTATGCAACATAAATAGTAAATAGAGCAGATATGTTTTGAAAAGATCTACAATTGCTTACTATAAAGCCATAAACTCTCAATGCTTCACTTACTTTCGATCTAATATGGTTGGAAAAAGACAAATTTTGATCAAAATATACACCAAGATCTTTAATTGAGTTACTCCGTGACAGTGAAATGGTATCTACTCGATAATTGTACTCGATGACTGACATTTTCCTACGGGCAACCTACAGTTGGTATTGTACGTTGACATTGACAGTGGCATACGCCGACTGTACTCTGAGTCAGAAAAATGTTTACAAGTGGTACATCAGGACATCAACAACTGATGAAAATTTTGAGAAAGTGAAGAAAATTGTTACGGAGAATCATCAAATCTGTTACAGAATTTGCTGAGGATATTGGTATATCGTTAGCACCAGTTATGATGCTTTTAAGCAAATCTGGATCCCAATTGATCCCAATCGAATGTATGTATCCCGCGAAATTTGAACATTCAATCTATCTTTCGAACATACCCCTCCTTTATACTATTATTAGGTAGAATATTATGAATCTTTCCTGTAACTCATTTTGAAATTAATTACTCATGAATATTAGTGATTTTCACCGTGACCTCTTCCAGGAATTGATGTTAGTTCCGGCAATAACCACCACGATGAAGAAGCCAAAGGACCTTATGTATATGAATTGTTCAGTATTATGATCCATTCGGGTAGCGCCTCTGGAGGTCACTATTACGCCTACATAAAAGATTTCGATAAAAACCTCTGGTTTTGTTTCAACGATCAAAGCGTTAGCGGGGTATTTATTCAAATGAAGAGTTTTGAGTTTTTTCTTTTACTGAATCTTCTTTCAGATAACTGAAGACGATATTAGAAAAACATATGGCGGTGGATCCCAAAGAGGGTATTATTCTGGGGCTTACAGCTCGAGCACAAATGCGTACATGCTCATGTATAGATTAATAGACAAAACGCGAAATTGTCGGGCGATGGCGGAGGACGAATTTCCTCCACACATTCAAAAGTTATTGCAGAGCATAAGGAAGAAAGAAGAGGAAGATAGGATCAACAGGGAGAAGGAGAGCGATAAGATGAAAATCAGTGTTTATTGCTGGCATCCAACAACTAAGACGTTGAGCGATGTAAAAATCTCCGTTTATAATGATTCAACGCTGAATGAAGCTGCCCACAGTGCGTATCAGCGTTTCAATTTGTCTTCTGTGGATATGCAAGACTGTAGATTAGTGACGTACAATAAGAAACACGATTGCATCGACAGTAGTTTCGAATCTGACAAATTGAGGTTCTGTGATATCTTGCTGAAGATCAATCACGTTAATCTGTTTACAGATTGGATGTTGGAAATCAGGGAGCCAGGTGAGTTGAGATGTTTTGTGATCTATGATATATTTTTTCTAGTTTTTATTGAACTTTACGGGAATTCTTACCTTCAAGGACTTTATACCGGTTCAGGAGAGGGATCTTTTAGTTCGCCCCGCTGAATTACTGCGTAAATTCAATGTAGTTTTCAAAAAAGTTACTTAACTTTTTAGAGGCCAAACTCTGCCTTCGATACGGTTCTTTCACAAACCTCGACATTTGCCGAGGAATAATAATAATAATTTATCAGTCTCAAGAAACGCACAGTTTTTAGACACGTCAATACAATTTCTAAAATAGGTTTGAGAGGATAAGATTCGTCAATATAGTTTCTAAAAAATGCTTGTAGATAAATTAGATTTACAAAAAAATGCAAGTTAACAAGATAAAATTTCAATCTTATAAGAATTTGACTATAATGTAAAGCCATGAGCTTTTACAAATTATAAATCGCAGAGCTAACGTTTTATATATATTCAAAGTTGAGTAAAAGTTCGGCAGGTGACCACAAAAGTGTCTCTTTTTTTCTTGGATAACTTCGAAAAATTGATAATTTCATGTAAAGGATGTTCAGTTAATATTTTCTTCAATAAGTTTTTTAATCTTCTAAATGGCAAGTTACGAAATTCGGCAGATAAGGCATTGTATAGCTTAATTTCTATATTATCTTTTCTTTTCAACCTATTAGGTGTAGGAACACGGTTTGATTCATTTCTTGTATCATGTTGGTGTATATCCTTGTGAGCAACTTCATTCAACAAGTTTTGTTGAACAAGAAGCAGATTTTCATAGACAATAACTGAATATAGGGTCATTATTTTAAGTTTTACAAATATTGGTCGACACTTTTCATCATAATTGGCAGAGATTATGCTTCCTACTACATATTTTTGAATGACAAATATTCTATTAAGATGTACCTTTGATGCATTATTTCAATTGATTATACCATACCTAAGGACTGAATGAAATATGTTGCAAGTGCCGCACTTTGATTTACTATTTACTATGTTGTGGAATTGGCCGCGGTGGTAGTGCGCCCGACTCACGATTGGAAGGCCGTGAGTTCGATTCCCGCATCGACCAGATATTTTTCTCGAGATAATTCATCTGGTTGAAGCTGGGATGATTCTGCAACCGTGTTAGGGGTCACATGTTAAAAGGTAAGGCCTCGTTAGTCCTTAGCTCGCACAAGTTTCTCAACTTCTGAGAGTTGTCGTTCGTATGGGAGCGACAGCTGATTAACGGAAAAACAGATTTTAAAACAGATTTTTTTCTTCTTCTGATAGCAAAAACTGTCTTACTAAGTTTACTACACATGCTATTTATATGGTCTATCCATTTCAGTTTGGAATCTGTTTGTACTCCCAAAAATTTGGTAGAATTTTTGTTATCTTGATTTAAGCAAATTGTTCAAAAGTTAAATTTTCTGTTTTTTTGTTCATTGAGAATCAAGTCATTTGGTGTGAACCATGATCGAGCTTTCTCTAATATGTCAGTATGGATCATATGAGGATCATCTATTTTATATATTTTTTTGTCCAAGGTTGCATCATCTGCATACAATATAGTTTCTATGTCTGACTGGTTCATCACGTGAGGCAGGTCGTTGATATAGATTAGAAACAGAAGTGGCCCCAATATTGACCGTTGTGGCAATCCTCTTAATATTTTTCTCTTTTCACTTTTGGTATTAACTAGATCAACAATTTTATATCTTTCGTTAAGGTATCACTTCATCATGTTTGAAGATAGAAGTCCCATACACTTTGGTGTCTGGGACTTTGTTCTCGTGAACCAAGCCCCAAGCGGGGAAGAAACATCCCATATACCAGAACTCTAACAGAAATCAAAAGTGAAAACTATTGAGGGGAGATACATACGTATAAGGAAATGAATATTTCGAAATAATAATCTCTCTCAACTACCTACATAGTAGGGTGTGTTTAACGTCTGTCGAAAAACAACTACTTCCCCGGCTAATACCACGCTGGATATTGAATTATATCCGACAGACGCTGCTATCATGCCTCAGCCACCTTATTCGCCAGATTTACCCCTCTGCGACTTTTTCCTGTTTCCAAGATTGAAGAGACCTAGAAAAGACGGCGTTAAGTTGAGGGGATTGAAAACCGAATCGTGGAGAGAGGTCAAGGACATACTGAAAAGGGCACATCAGAACTGCTTCGCTGAAAGGAACAAAATAGAATTTGATGAATAAATGACATAGGTATGGTGTCTGTTTCTGAGGTGGATAATCCTCAGTAAGTACTGCAAGACGTTTTTGCTGTACAATAACTTCCTCAAGCATTTCATTACTTGACATTTCTTTGGTGTGTCACCCAAGTGTGATTGCCAAGCTTTTATGTCGGTACTGGTGATGCCCAACAGGCTGAAACAGCTGTTTACCGGTGGCTCTTGAAATTCAGTTGTAAACGATAGTCGACAGCATTAATATTTCTTGATTTTTTATATGTCTGTTTCCAACTACTATATTGAAACAGCAGAAATAATCAACTCATGATAACCCCAGGAAAACTCCCAGCTGGTCCCGATGGAATTCCTTTGCAATTTTTAAAAAACTGCATATTCTCTCTAGCAAAACCCTTACAAACATTATTTAATCTTTATCTATGGGAATCTTCCCTGAAATCTGGAAGCAAAGTTTTCTAACTCCAATCCACAAATCTGGTGATGAAGACAATATTAAAAACTACTGTCCAGTGAGCAAGCAATCGGAAATTCCCAAGTTGCTGGATTGTTTGATAACTAAAAAAGTGACATTCAATACAAAAAAACATAATAAATGAACACCAACATGGCTTTATATCTGGTAGATCCACCACTACGAATTTATTGCTTCATCAACATTTTCTTTTGAATAACCTAGAGGAAAACACCAAATTGAATCTATTTATAATGATCTCTCTAAAGCCTTTGAGAGGGTAAATCATGATCTTCTCATGGCTAAGCTCCTAGCATTAGGCATCAATGGTAACATGTCAAAATGGATAAAGAGTTATTTGGATAATAGAATTCAGTATGTTAAATATGCTGGTTCCATATCATCACAAATTCCTGTAACGTCTGGTGTCCCTCAAGGATCGCATATAGGTCCAATACTCTTCATTCTTTTTGTAAACGATGTGTCGGATGTCATACGCCACAGCTATTATTCAATGTTTGCAGATGATCTCAAATTTTACAGGGTTGTAGGTAACTTTTATGATGCAGAACTGTTACAGATAGCTTTAAATAACTTATCTCGTTGGTGTGATGAAAATATGCTTCATTTGAATATAAATAAATGTTATCAAATAACATTTTCAAGAGCTGTGGTACGCTCGGTCTTGGAAAATAATTGCGTGATATGGAGTCCTCTATATCAGACAGATATAATATCTATGATTGAGAAAGCACAAAACAAATTTCTGAGATCATGTGCATTTAAGCTCGGTTATCTGAGGTCCGACTATGAGTACTCAAACATTCTGCTTCTTTTGAATTTATCTACTTTGGAGCACTCTGAACTGCTGATTATTATTATTAATAATCAATTGATATTTGTTTTTTTTTATGGTATTCTATATTATTATTCAATTGTTTATTTTTTCAATCACCCTATTTATGTGTTCATTGTATAATGGCAAGTCCCTAAATAAATAAATAAATTTCTCATTCTTCAGGAACGGAATGGGGTAGATATATTGCGGGAGGCATCAATATGAAGGTTTATCCAATCATCTTAGATACTGAAGAACTAGACGAACCAAAGTTGGTACGTGTAGATGTGGATGATTTGGTGAAAAACTTGAAAATCAAAGTTGCTCAACTTTTCGACTGGGATCCAACCACCATAGTCTTGGTAATGGAAATGTTCAGCAACGAACCCAAGTACTTAGATAACGATGAGGCATTTGTTAAATTTGATGTCAACTGCAGCAGCTATAAGTTGTATGCATCCAAAGCTCTTGACGATGACCCAGAAAAGAAAACATTTCAACATTCGAAGATGAAGAGGTTGATCGAATATTTCGGGTATATCATCAGTTTTACTGTAACTTTGCCAGAAACTGACGCAGGTAAGACTTTTTTTTTTTCAAAATTTTGTAGTGATTATAACCTTTCAGTTCTCTTTTGATTCGGAGGCTTTGGGACCTATTTCAAAAATATTCTCAGTTTAATATTATGTACTTTTGCCCATTACTATTAGTTTATATTTTTTTTGGGAAAGAAACATTCGTTGTGGAATAAAAATCATATATCATTCACATGAGTTCTACTTTAAATGAATGGTAACAAATTGCACTTACATGGAACACTGTCATCCTCACTGGTATACATCGATGTTTTGCCTTAAGGATAATGTTATCCAATTTGGTACTGAAGAGTCTTAGGGCAAGTGTCTTAAGGCAAAACATCGATGTATACCAGTGAGGATGACAGTGTTCCATGTAAGTGCAATTTGTTGCCATTCATTTAAAGTAGAACTCATGTGAATGATATCTGATTTTTATTCCACAACGATTGCTTCAAATACAACCTGAGTAGAGAAAAGTATCTTCTGTATAATTCAATGTTTATTTGAAAGTAGCTGTTTCAGGAGGACTTTCTTTCAGTTTGTGTCTGAAAGTTACTTCTTTGCATGATCTACACATCCATTGATTACTTTCTTCCTTTCTTTGGAAGATTCCCTCATCCTTTTTGTGTATCAAGATGGAATAGTAGAAAGCCAAAAACTTTCTTTCCCAAAAATTAATCACTCCTAAAAATATAACCCCTTCAATTTATATTATTGTTTTATATTTCAGAAAATTGAGGACTGATAATACTTGTTAAGAGTATTCCATTTTATATGCTAATTTTATTTTCTTTTATTCGAAGAGCGTGTCGTGAAATAATAATATATTCTTTTTCATTCATAGAATCACGTTTTTCATTTCGATTCAGTATGATTCAGAGATGAATTCATCTTATAAATGGTTATTCTGAAATCTTAGTTCTCAGACTTAGTTTCTGAACTAAGCTTCACGTAATTGGTAACTCTGTCATTGTAATGAAACAAATTGACTTTACTTCAGGTACCCTGGAAATGTTATCTATACCATCCTTAGATCTGAATCAGAATTTGGACAGACTAGAGTTAGGCAGCGGAGATAGATGCACGAACTCTCCAAATTTAAGAGTGTCACCGCAACCAGGTACTAGTGATGGATTTGGTGATCAAAGCAACAGCGAAGATAGTAGCTTGAGTGATAGTGACAGGACACTTGTGGGGGAGGCTCCAGGTATGTCGAAATGTCTGTTTGAAATTGTCTATGTTTATAATTGGGAATGTTCCTCAATTCGAGTTATTACAGCAAATGCAACTTTGAACAAAATAAAGTTGAGTTTAATTCATGAGTTTTTCAAATTCACTTCGAAAAGTATTCAAATTGATGTATCAAATGTTGGGTTTTAATTTTTAAAGCAATTTGTTTCTAATTCACATATTGGCAACAGCGTCTATATCAAGTTGAAATAATTTATACGTACCTAGATATTCTATTTTAAAAAAGGGAAATTATCTTTATAAATCAACAATCAAGGCAAAATATAAATTATAGTTCAATACCACCTCCACAAGCCACATAAACAACAGTTGTTTTGTTATTTATTTATATAGATGAAGATAGGTTAGGTTTAGGTTAGGTGCACAAAATGTCATGTCACAGAATGTCTCGGAACTCGGAACATAAGTAAACAGAACAGCACGCCTCTGAAGTATGTCATCTTTGTTTGTCTCATACAGGTAACAGATTCATTGTCCTTTATTAGCTATAACCGATGTTGCCAAATGGTGAAATAGAAACGAATCCCTTCAAATGTTGAATGCATTATTTCATACCTCTTTTTTAAGTATTTAAATAATTTTTTTGAAGAAAAAGTTGAAATGATGAGTTAAAATGCGTTGTTTCAGAGCTCTTTTATGAAAACTACTTGATTTTCGTCAGGAGGAACATTCCCCATTGGATGGATGAAATTTTCAAGTAATTTCACTTCATTGTGAAATAAATCTGTTTCATCTTTTGAATTATTCGATTTGAAAACTGAATTGAGAAGTTGAAATATTTCAACTCTATATAAAAATGAATGTGGAATGAGAAATGAAATTTTCCATGTTTTTTTACCACTTTGTAACTAACGTTAACTAACTAAATAATATTATAAAGGCATCAAGTTTTACAATGATCTATCGAATATTTTGAAAAAATTTAATCTCGAGTCTTCCACATTTTCTATCTGTCTGCCAGCGTAAATCCTATTTTTCACTGTCCCCCGTAAAAAATAGTTCAAAGTAGTAAGATCTGGTGATCTTGCAGACCATCTTACTGTCCTATTATTTACCTCGAAATGGAAGGACTCCAATTCGAACATTTATTGCACTTTTTTTTTGTGTATATAAATTACTTCATTTCAATTTTCATTATAATTAAAGTGTTCGTTTCGGATGTTATTATTGTTACCATTTTTTATTCTGCTCATCAAAACACATATAATATATTTTTGTTGTAGATATGTTTCAGATAATCATAAAAGGTTTTCTTATTCGCAGTTCATTGTAGAAAAACCTCAGAGCAATGGAAAAAATATGAGTAGGTACCTAAAAATGAAAAAAAATTCACGAAAAACTCTACGGTACATAGGGAGACGTGAAAGTTGCTATTGTGTTTTTATTCAACTTAGTCAACCAATTTCCAGGGCCGTAATTTGAAAGGGAATAATTCACACAATTATAATCGAATATTACCGAAAAATCCCGAAATATAAAATTGAATTTGATTTCTCAGTATGCAGTGAACGTCTACGTTCCAAAAACTACAACAAAAAATACAGGTCCGTATTTGAAAATTCAAAGATGGGGTGGCCCAAGTCAGAGGACACCCTGTATAAAAGATTCATGGATATATTCCGAGAACCCCACATCAAGTGCCAATAGCAAAATGTGGACAGATTTTCAATATGTCTGCGTATAAAGAAGATATAGGCAAAAACATAATTTGAGATTTTTTGGTTTTTCCTGTATATCACCAGAACCAAAAGAGCTATATTCGATTTCTTTATATCATTGAATAGGTCTCCAAAATACGCAACTTTGCCATAAATTAACCTACACTCTATCTCTTATCGTTTACGAGATCTCCATGTACAGAAATGAATTTGAATAGCCCAGTATATTGTTGTAGGTATGATATTCTAGAGTACAATGTCAGTGTCGACTTATTCTCCCACTTCCTCTTTTTGTGTGTGTATTTTACTTTTCCTTAATTTAAAATTGTTTCAGACCTTCACTTTTGTCAACAAGATTTTGTATCTTTGAAGAATAAAGTATATTCTCTCTTTCTCTCAACATGTTTGATATACTGGTATACCTTTTCACTTGTAAAATAATCCTCATTCCACGATTCTTCAACTTTTGTAAAGTCGATACCTTATTTATATTATATTATTACTCTTTATTAGCAAATAATCTCTTTATAGTACAGTCAGTCACTTATAAAATACAAAACAAAAAATAAAAGGTATAAAACAAGTCAAAAGAAATTTGAACATAGATTAGGCAAACAATACATGTACTTTAAAATGCTATAAGGAGCAAAGAGAGTTCACTATGAAGATAAGAACTCGTCCATAGTATAATACGAGTTATCCAGTGAGTATGTTTTCAGCGTTTTTCTGAATCTGAAGTAAGATACCTCCTGATCGACTTTTGTCAATAGGTGGTTGTAAACCCTAATTCCACGTATCACGTATCTACAAAATCGTAGGTTCACATGAGAGGCAAGGGGTAAGGTGTTTTTCACCTGAACTTGGGCATGTCATATGCATCTCTACGAATATTTTTTATTATTCCGACTTCCACCACAGAGTATGCGTTTGCAGAGTTGTTTCCTGGCTTTGTCTTGGAAAAAAAGGCCAGCACAAATGTATTATATCTGAGTTGGACTACTTTGATGGGGGCAAAATAGAAAATGTTGAATAAATAATTATTTTTTGAGGAATATGAAAATTCACCTCATTTTTTTAACAGACCTTGGACATTGTCACCCGGTTTAAAGAAATTGTTTGTAAGGTTGTACAAAATATAGTTTTGAACGTTTTTTTTTTTCAGGTGAAATCCGTTTGTTGCGAAGAAGTCCAAATTCTCCCGACGATCAACACATGGCATCGCCGAGTGATCCGTGCGAGGATTCATACAATTACGATGTACTCGGTCATCCCGGAGAAGAAATGAACTGGGACGATGACGATACCCAGCAAGAACTGCAGCGATGCGCCAATTACTTTTTCAAAATCACCAGCGTTAGTGATAATAGCGAAACCCAAAACTCTGAAGGTTGTGTTAGTTGTTGTAGAGTATTGGCTGACAAAAGAATGACGTTGGAGAAGTTCAAGAAGAATTTTGAGGTGATCCTGAGGGTGCCCTCCGAATATTTCAAGATCTACAAACGGTATTCGAATTCGGACGAGGAATGGAGTTGCTTGTCCGATACTTTGAGGTCGGCCAGGGATGGAGAAAGGTATTTGATTATTCTAAGAAAATGTGTATCGGGTTTTATTATTATCATACAGGCTGATTCGCGGTGGATGGCACATTAGACGTTTCTGGTGAACCAGACAACGGATCACTTTGAAAATTTAATGGAGGGCATATTCGGACATTCTCTAGCCAACTAAAATATTTTCGACAATGCGGTGTTGCCGCTTCTATTAGAAAACAGTAGCAACTTTGATTTTTCAAATG